TTATAGACGAAGGTAAACATTTAATAAACATTTAATAAACGCATTGCCGGACAATCACTCATCCACATGAGAGAGAGAGAGAGAGAGAGAGAGAGAGAGAGAGAGAGAGAGAGAGAGAGAGAGAGAGAGAGAGAGAGAGAGAGAGAGAGAGAGAGAGAGAGAGAGAGAGAGAGAGAGAGAGAGAGAGAGAGAGAGAGAGAGAGCGCATATCTTGTTTATGAACTACCAAAAACACATGAATACAACCTTTTGATAAACTCACAGTGATGAACGTTTATACAACATTCCTAAATAATGAAAAGTATCTAATTAATGCATTTTAAGTAAAAGGGGTCTGTACCTGAATACCAACACAGGTAGAACTGATAAATACCATGTGTTTGTCCTCGAGTGAGGAATGTCAAACAACACAAATCAGTCACATACAGCCTCTTTTCAGTCCAATCCAAGAAAAGGATATCGGGTACAGCTCAGTGAAGTTCGCTATTTGCCGATCCACTTGCTGTACCGATGAAATGGTTAAGTAAATATTTCAATACCTACCAATGTCAACTCTTTGTCGTTTACAAGAAAAAAACAACTAAACAACAGCCATTTGTAAATCGGAATTAATTGCTATTAACAGAATCTCCACAACGCCCTTTCTTGATAATGTCACGCTCCTTAAGGTCCTTAGAAACTCATATGTCCCTTTGAAACAAACCAACGCCTCCTCGAAAAATGTTTGAATTCAAAGAATATTTCTGGTCTCTTTTAAATATTGCTTGGATATGGCAAACATGCTTAGAGTCTGTGGTGACAAAAAATCCTTATCCTCTACTTGTGGTTACTGTGCACAAAAAAACAAACAAACAAAAAAACTATGGTACTATATATGCAATGATTATTGAGGTTATATACTTTCATTCTCATAAATTCTTATTTCTGCTGTAATCATTGAGTTTTTGCATGACATTCTAAAGGATATTTTTAATAATTTATCATAATTATTTATTACTTTTCTGGCCATTTGTCTTTTTAATACTAACAGCGTGTCTTATAGTTATTTGTACTTGATGCTGGCGAAATCTATCATAAGGAAAGTATCCCCTACAATTATGATTTTTTTATGAAGGAAATTAAAGTTTTTCGTTTTCTTTACGACAGGTAAACAATGCTAAACTATTATATTTCTTGCTTACGGGAGCTAAATAAATAAAAAAATAATGAAAAAGTATATGGATATATGAAGTCTGGCAATTAAGCTGGGAAGAATATAGTCTGAGGATCAATATCATTGAAATTGGCGTGATTATAATATGAATATCGAGCAGGAAAGTTCTCAGGGTCTTTGGCAAATGATTTTGTGATTTTAGTCGACCAATTTACGGCGATTGTATTACGTAACAGCATCTAAGCCGTAACTGCTTGTGTACAGTATGGTCAACTGTTGTAATAGCGATAAAAAATATTTGTGATAATAGCTAAGTTTCAAAGGTAATATGAACAATGTTGGAAAACATTACTTAAAATTGACAGCAGGTATTTTTCATTTTTCTCGCCTACAGTGTTTTTCTTTTTAGCATAACAAAAAACCTTTTCTTAATCGCTATTTAATTTCTACTTCTTCTCTTCATCATTAACTCTTATAGTTCTTATATGTTTCTCTTTGTCTTTATTTATTTCTCTATACCTTTCTTGCTACTTATTCCTGCCTTCCTTTCATTTTAATCTCATATCTTCCTTCTAAGCTCAAGTGAAATTCAAGGTCTTCCTCCATTTCTTTGTTATAAATGAAATCTGTTGACTTTTATCATTGTTCAATCACTTCTTTGTATTGCCTTTAGAGTTTGCGTACTTCATTTATATGTAATCTTCTTTTCTTAATTCAACAGGTGGGTGTTATAATAATCATTTAAGACATCAGTACAAGGAGTAATACTATAAATAACTACAAAAATAGACATTATTTGTACTAACAATAACCATATAACATTATATATCATTAAGCTCACGTGATGTTCACTCGGAATTAAGACATTATACAAATGTTCTCTGGTAAGATGTGTGTAGGATGTACCAACATAAGGTTTTACAAAGTGATGGACCATAATACTAATGTCATTTGTTGGGTGACTTTGAGGAATGTTTTGCCAAGGGAATGTAGGCTTGAAGTAAACCAACTTATCCATCACAAAAAATCTGTAATTTTTCGTATCTACAAGGGTACTGTATTTGTAGAGAAATAATTATCTATTCTTCCTGGCAAAATTCAGATACAACAAGCATGAATCTCGGAAAAAGCAGTGATAAGTTACAACTCTTGAAATGGGCTTTTCATCTAGATCTCATAAAACAATCTAGGAAATTGCCCAGTTTTGTTAATGGTATTGGTGCTCTGTCTCTAAAGATAAAGATCAAATCATCAATGTGGAGTTAATTTTAGGAATTCATTATGCAATATCTATGAGGTTGAAAAGCTATATTGTCAAAGGAAAAGAAGAAAAGAAAGACAAAAATCTTGTTTTACAGATCATTTATAATAACGTACAACAGCATTTTCTGAAATACATTACAGGGTAAAAGTATCACGAGGTAAAAAAAAAAAAAAGTATATTTCAAAATTGTAATTTCCTTCTCAGAGAACAAGTCTGCTCCTTACAATTCATCTATAAAAATGATACTTTTTTGCAATCTAACTTTAAACTTAAGAAAGGTAACAATAAACCAAACAAGCAATAATGCTGAACAAACTTCCTCAAAAATAAAATCAAGTCTCCATTATACAATCATTACGTAATAACTCTACCCTACACATTAAAATGTTGAGCACACAGTTATCATTATCACAATTTAGAACAAGGCACTCTTACAAGATATCTTGGAAAACATCAGGAAATGGCAGCCTATATTCTTTTTACCTTCTTTTAAACCTACTATTCCCCCCCCCCCCCCCATGTCTGATCAAATTAAAACAGTTGTTCATGACAGCATATATAAATAAATAAGGTATATTACTGCAGCAGCAAAATAACCTTTTTTTTTTATATCATAAACTTTTCATTCTAAAAAAACAACTCCTTAACACAGCTGCATAAACCTGCCCTCCAAAATTATAATTCAATGTATTCATTTGTATATAATTTCCCTGTTTTTCTCCTCCTTGGAATGCACCTTCTGGTCTTGTCTCGGCAGAGAGTCCATTGAATTTTTTTTTTCTTTTTTTTTTTCTTTTTACACTCTTTTAACTTGTAATTACAGTAGCCACATAACAAGAAGCACCTTGTTTCATCTTCAAGATCACCAGTTCTCTCTGGTGTAAATGTGCACTCCATATACATATAAATAAATTTGTACATTGAAGGTATAGAGCTCTACTTAACAGCAACTACAGAATGACGGGTTTTATGCCAGTTTGTTAAACAGTATTCAATAATGACTTTGTCAAAGGATTTCTGAAGACTAAAAAAAAGTGTATGAAAAGTTATAAAAATAACGGTGAGAGGCAAAGTAATTCTACAAACTATCTAAATATGAATGTTTAACCTTTCTCTTCTTAAATCTTTGACACTTACAAAAATAACTTACATATAAATGACTTAAAAATAGCTAAAATTTAAAGGAAACTGCCCATTTGTTTTTTGAGAAGAAACCTTCAAATACTTCAGCTTATTGTTAGATTCAATAACAATACAGTAATTCATAACATTGTATTACTTATTCATCATTCTTATCTATTAAGTACCTTTCCAATTTACATACTATAATAGAATGTTCTCCACAAAGGTTACTGTATAAATCATTACAAAATCACCTCACTGACTTCAAAAGTACCTTTGCAGGAATTTGAACCATAAAAAAAAAAAAAAAAAAAAAAAAACATGGAAAGTGTACCTATAGGGGATTCTGTGAAGTACAGTAGATCAATGCTGGCCTTTATTTAACACAGACATCCCCTTCGTAACCTTATAGCGAGTTAGTGCACTGTGACGAGCACTCCTTTGAAATAAGTTTTGAAGCGTATGTTAAGGAACCTTTGTAGTGGCACGCTAGCATCTCTGTACTCTGCATAAAAAGTCAAATCAGCGTCATAGTTTAGCGACTCTGTATACATGGGCAAATACAGGCAGTACTTACTCTCTTCATTTCTGTATACAATCAAATGATGGTCTTCCAGAAAAAAATATATACAAGAGAATTCTCTCCCTTTGCTGTGACCATCTAGCATCTTTCACCAGAGACAGCTGGCCAGATACAACCTACAAAACTACCATCTTGTATCCCCCTGCAGTGAATCTCCATAACATGTCACTGCATATTGCTCAGAACTGTCTGTACATGCTCAATGCAGTGCTCCACCTCATCGTGGTCTGAGCGACACTGCTCAAGCCTGAAAATAGAAAGGAGGATTTGATGTAAAACATTGCATTTGAAAGTTGTCTATAAAAAAATAAAATCATGAGATGGAATGAAGTGATTCTGAACTTTGCTACAGAAAAGGAGGAGTAAAGTTAAAGTAAAGGTAAAGGGAAAAAAAAAAGAAGAAAGAAAGAGAGAAAGAAAGAATTTAAGAAGCTTTTACAAGAACGAGTAAATTTACAAAAAACAAAATTCCAATGGAGGAATAAGGCAGTGCCCTTCTCTTACTTTTTCAACAAGTTCTCCAGTTGATCCCGGTTCCACTTGACCTCCTTAAGGCCCTGGAGGCAATGCTGTGCGAGGGTTTTGAAGCAGAAGCGCCGGGTGTTGTTGTGATGAGACGCATCCCACTGGGGTGTCGCACGGACGTATGACCATGCGATGAGAGAGTAGTCGATGAGGCTTGCCCACTGCTCAGCCTCAGCCAGCTGGGTGCACTGCTCCAGTACTGTTTTCTGTTGATTGCATGAGAATAAGTAAATTATTTCGGATTACAAGTAACTGACTTTACAAATGTAAACTTTACTTTGAATGACTGAGGGGTAGAAAGGTTGAAAGGAAGAAATGAGAATACAATGGAGAAGAGATAATTTTACTTGCAAACTACAATAAACATGGTTATGCCATCTTAATGCAGAATGTAACAATTATCTATACCATGCTACTCTTGCCCCTGAAATACAAAAAAGAAAAACAAGAAAAGAAAGAAAGAAAGAAAGAAAGAAAGAAAAAAGAAAATCTACTAAATAAATAAATAAAACCCATAAAATAGCAACAAAACCAATATCATTCCTCATAAAAAAAGCTCACAAAACACAAATTACAAACCTTGAAATTTGACAAATGCGGAGATGCCTTGTTGTATGCAGGAGAGTCAGTCTTGGAGGCTAATCGGGATACTGGCAGTGCCTTGAAGATGCACTTCTTCTGCTGGTTCAGCTTCTCTTCCATTTGCTTCAAGTCTGGCTGGGGCAGGATGTCGGAGATCTCATCTGAAATGGCCACAGTACAAATGAGATGAAGGAGGTGGGGGAAGAGGGGTGAGCGGGGAAGGAGGGGGGAAAGGAGGGAGGGAGGTTGATAATAATAAAGTTAATAAAGGTTTACTTTAATTCCCTTTGTTACAATGGATATTCTTGGTGTGACATAGTGTCTATTTCATTTTGCTTCTAAGTTATCCCCTGTGTGCAAGGAATGGCTGGGGTTACCAGCCACTGGTGGTGAGGGATTTGAAGGCAGGTCAGCAAGATTGCTAGATGAGATCACTAACGCTGCACCACACAACACATAGGAGGGAGATGGAGAGGGCTAGAGGAAAGAAGGAGAGAGTGAGAGAGAGAGAGAGAGAGAGAGAGAGAGAGAGAGAGAGAGAGAGAGAGAGAGAGAGAGAGAGAGAGAGAGAGAGAGAGAGAGAGAGAGAGAGAGAGAGAGAGAGAGAGGGAGAGAGAGAGAGAGAGAGAGAGAGAGAGAGAGAGAGAGAGAGAGAGAGAGAGAGAGAGAGAGAGAGAGAGAGAGAGAGAGAGAGAGAGAGAGAGAGAGAGGGAGGGAGAGGGAGAGGGAGAGGGAGAGGGAGGGAGAGGGAGAGGGAGAGGGAGAGGGAGAGGGAGAGGGAGAGGGAGAGAGGGAGAGGGAGAGGGAGAGGGAGAGGGAGAGAGAGAGAGAGAGAGAGAGAGAGAGAGAGAGAGAGAGAGAGAGAGAGAGAGAGAGAGAGAGAGAGAGAGAGAGAGAGAGAGAGATTTAAAACCCAGGAAACCACCTGCCTTTTAGCTCTGGATGCCTTTCCAAGACACTGTTGAGAACATCCACCAGCTGGTGTTGTGTCAGTCCCTTTATAGCAACCTCTGGTGGAGACTGAACAGGTGAGACTGTCAAACTGCGGCATTTCTTCACAATGGGTGACATCTGCATCATCATCTAAAAGGATAAAACAAAGCTTATATAACATTAACTGGGAAATAAAACCAATTTTCATCATCATCATCATCATTACTATACTAATTCTCTGGCACAATTTATTTTATATTCATTTATCAGGGGGAAAAAATTGACAGAGAGCATCATGGTATTTTTTAGGCCAAGTTTAAGTTTGATGTTTACAATCAAGCTGTGACTGACTAAAAATCTGAATTAGAAACAATGACCTGCAAAATGCAGAAAATTTAGCAGCTTCAATATGTGGTATTTCAGTAAATATCTTAATAAATCCCTGGAATCCCAACATTAAATACCAGAAAAACGGTAAGATTACCATGCCCCTCTACAATACTGTGTGCCAAACATACCCGTCTACTCTCAAGGAGTTCCTTGGGCGGGGTGTCGCTGAGCTGCAGCCTCTTTCTCGGAGAAGATCGGAGGACAATCATGCCTTTGCCTGGAGACCGCTTGAGGGGGGTTTTCTCCATGCGCTTCACGGGGCTTTCTATGGGGATTGGAGACCACTCTAGCGGGAGGGATCTCCGGCCCCTACCACGAATCACGAGCTCATCGGGTGAAGGTGTTGGGGAGAGGTACGAGGAGGGGAGGTTGACCGTTGCCGACCAGGTGAGGCCATTTGCTGGGTTTCCTGTTTAAATGAGACGGATATAAATGTATACATTCGTGGCATATCCAAAATACATAAAATAAGAAAATCTATGCAGGACAAAACTATTATTCTTAAATTAAAAGTTTATAAAAGATTGCACAGACTGTAACCTACGAAAAAATTCATAAAATACCATACATTCCAAGGTTAACTGTGCAAGTTATTGCAAGGACTGACATCTAAGCATTCTTGTGTTATAGTAATTATTCCTCACCCCATATCGAGCACATCTCGCTTCGCACAGGAAATTATTCAAAACATCAGGGAACATTGCTTGAAACATTTAAAACCATTACAGTATATAAGCAACAGATATGTAGGTATTTCCCTAAGCAGTATGGTTTATGTATATTTCCCAGTCTAGATATATGTTTTGGCATGCTACCATGGCTTTATACAGGGCATGTAAACAGTTCTGTTAACAAATTTTATCAAATCAAAGCAATCTCAGTCAAGGGGAGCATCAGAAAAAGTTATAAACAGCATATTGCCACTTAACCCCCATGGTCTGGATGACATGACCATCAAGTCATGAAAAAATCCAGCCTGAGGGGTGGGTGACATGAACATGCCATCATGAGAATTTTGACTAAAGGCTGGGGTAACAGGAACGATTTGCCATGAGTGCACAAAACTCTTGGAGGGTGATTAGATTCAGTGGGCATTTTGGAAGGGGCAATTTGCATTACTGCCATCAATAAATGAGTGTGGAATGCACCATCTGTGCGTCATGACAGGAAGTGCACCGGCTCCAGGGAGGATGCTATATCCAATCTCAGGATCCTATTCCTACCCGCTGTGTCCAGCGGTGCAGGTTGTATTACAGAAAATTGAATGTTAAATACACACACACACACACACACACACGAAAAAAACTATCTATCTATCTATATATATAAAATGAAACAGGTAACAAAGTGTTACTTATTGTTATTATTACAGTTATGGACTACCAAGAGAGATGGTAGGAAAACAGTCTATTATCATCTAGATAAAGCAAATCAAATGACAAATGTAGGCATTTGAAAATGGTAAAAATGCTAAAAATCTTTATGCAAGAAAATGTAAAATAACATTGCATAGGGGAGGTATGGAGTCTTGTCACTGCAAATATGTGTTCTTGTGTGCCTGGGCCTAAAAGCCGCACACCTGCCAGAGTGACCACTCAAGCAAGCATAATGCCTGTATTTTGGGCCACATGATGTCAGTGAAACATCCAGTTCCGATGACCTACAACCAATGCTTCTTCTGCAACTTATTTACATTGTACTGAGCCAAGGGTCTTTCTACAGATTCTCTTTAGACCTTGCACAGTATGATATACACACATAATCAAACCCTATGATACACATTTACTAATGGTGTTGCTTTGCCACATTTGACTATGAAATTCTGTAAATTCTATTATCGAAAGCAAAGACAGCTTTACATATCAATTCTTTTACTTTTCATAATTCTACTTTACACTGATTTAAATCTCACACATGCATGCACTGATACGTACAAGCATACACAAATTAATAGTTAGAAACAGTTTAAAGTTACAGTAAGTGAATGAGCAGCAGACAATATTCAAAGTGTAATTTGAAGTATACAATAGGAAATAAAAAATACCTAAATATGCATGACCCTGATTCAATATATGTAGAGGAAAGTTTGAAGAACACATCTGCCTATTGAAACATGCCTCAGCTCTCCAACAATGACAGCTAACCACCAGCATCTATATATTGGATCTGTCTTGAAATAACTAGTCAGAATATACATGGTAGAGATTAGTTGGTCTTTGCTGGAGTGCTGAAGGCATGGAACAAGTGAGCATTCAAAATCCTCAGTAGCAGAGTCTCTACATATACTGCATGGTTTAATTTAGCCTTTTACAAACAAGCAATGATTAGCTATGTTATCAACAAACGGATAGGTTCATGTTCAATCTGTTTATTCATACCATGGGCCATACTGTTTCAACTTAATATTAATTGTGATGATCTAATGGACAACAAATGTCATTGGCTTTCCACTCCCTTTTGTCGAGTTATCCCACACCCCTCGTTAAGTCATTACAGTTGTATGTTCACTGTTTATTATGTGACCTGCTTGTTTGAATGATAACATTAAAATACTGAAACATGCAAAGTTCAGATAATGTGAAAGTATTCAGATATTAGACATGGAGTTCATAAATGTTAAAAATGGATAACATTCTGGTAAAAGTTAAGGACAATTTTTTTTTTTTTAGCTAATATAAATCATCTTGAAACTTCTGACACCAAACACTTGGTAAAATGGGCAATAACCTATGTTTTCTGTGGCAAAATATGCAAATGAAAAGCACCAACAATAGGCTGATCAGTTATTAAGTGCACTGCACCACAAGCCATATATTACTTGCTCATGACATATCTGGCATTTGTAAGCAACGTATGACAACTGGTGGTTGGTTGTGTGAGGAGACGACTGACAATGCCACCTGTTAAGAGGCTTTTTTTCTTGAATATTTTACTTCCTCTCTCTATATAAAAGTCCATGTCTTAAATATCTAAAAGCTTGCAGAAATCATCGCTAACAGCACAGGTCCACTTAGTACTCCTGACTTTAGGCAAAATCTCGCCGTGAATACCGAGATGAGGACATTTCCCAGGGGGATGCTGCACGGAAAGAGCTCCCCCCCCCCCCCCCATATTCTGCCCAAGTCATATCTTGGGACAGAATATAGGTGGTGCAACTTAGTTGACCTTTGCTTTAAGGACAAATGAATGAAGGCCACTGTAAAGCCATCACACCACTGCTTTCAGGAATTTTCTTAATCTAAATAATCTTCATTTGCAATCCCGTGAGAAATGTAAAAAAAACAAACCTTACTCTCGGATACTGTCAATCCATCAATCCCACGCAACCTGGAAAACCTGGAATCAAGAAGCGTCAGAACCGAGTGGCTGGCACCCACCTGTCTGCCTCAGGGTGACGGTGGCCGGCCTGGGGATCTCCTCGAGCGCCCCCCTCGTCCTGTGTGCCACGGGCTCCCCCCCGCTCGGCCCCAGCAGCACAACGCCCTCGGCCATCCTCAAGGGCTCCTGCCGCACAATCCTCGAAGGAATCCTACGAAGGTGTCCTATGTAGGCCTACTCCCAGGGATCCTATGAGGGAGTCCCAAGAGAGGATTCTAGAGTATTCTAGAGTATTTTAGGGTATTCTAGTTTTTTTTTCGTGAAATCTGGTATGTTATGGAGGTTTGTTTTGGTATCCTAGGAAGGAAGGAAGGAAGGAAGAAGGATGCAAAGGATAGAAGGATTTTTTTTTTTTTTTTAAGTGTTGTTGCTGGACCTTTAAATCGGCGTCTCTTTAAATGGCTTATTTGGAGGCGATTTCCACCCTCTTTGGGCTTCTGCGGGGCCTTATTTCCCTCTTTCCTTCGCATGAATTATCTGATGCACTTTTTAAGGAGATTTCTGAGATTTCTCGCTATTTTCCGACCTTTTTTTGTGTGTATTACGGGATCTCCCAGATGGCGGCCTCCTCTCCCTCTCACCCGGGGAAGACTTGTTGATTTCGCCCTTATTTCCCCCTTCTGGCGCCCCGCAGCGGTCGGCCACTGGCACTACATATATCACAAAGGTCCAAACTAGCGGCAGGACTCCCAAAGGCACCGCCAGAGGATTCGCAAAAGCCTCAAAATCGCGAAAAACCTCGATGTAAACAAAGGTGTTCCGGCCGCGCTGCTCGCCCACGCCGCCGTCGCCCCTTCGCGCCAAACCCGCCTTTCGGGATCAGCCAATCAGCGAGCGGCTTTCGGCACGGGCTCGTCGCTCCGCCAATCAGAAAGCAGGTTTGGCCCAACAGTGTGACGTACTAGAGGCTCTTGACTAATCGCGTGGTAGCGAGGTTTCCCTCACGTGACGTCATGGGAAGATTGACCAATGGGAAAGGAGAGATGAGTTATGACTTGTTGAATTAGCCAATGAGAATCGAGATTAGGGGAATTAGGCCTAGGTGGGGGGAAGAGGGAAACAAGCGGCAAGAATTAAATACTAAAATTCAACGCAAATAACTTGGAAAAAAGTGATTGTGTTCCTATTTACACGTTTGAATGTTAGCGACTATCGAACTGTCTGCAGAGATTGACTTAGCTGTATGTGTAGTTTTTTTTTCTTAAAGCACGCTAGCTCGCGCATACACACGTGTTTGCTCTCTCTCTCTCTCTCTCTTCTCTCTCAACTATATGTGCATCTATATCTGTTTTTTTATATATATTAAATATGGGTTATTCGTTTAGCATGTTTTGTGTTTCTCTCTCTCTCTCTCTCTCTCTCTCTCTCTCTCTCTCTCTCTCTCTCTCTCTCTCTCTCTCTCTCTCTCTCTCAACTATATGTGCATCTACATTTATCTTTATATTATATATGGGTTATTCGTTTATTAGCGTGTCTTTGTGCTTCTGTGTACGCGTGACCTTACTTATTTTCGTAAAGTGACTCGCAAACCGTCGTCACTCGCAACTATATTCTAGGTCAGTGCGAGGGGCCTTGACCTAGGCCAAGGGCTTGCATAAAACGGATTCTTTTTTATTCAATATCGTCAACTACTCGCTGTGAAAAGGTATATTTCATTTGGAAGATTGACATGGCTGACTGTAAAGATAAAAGAGATAGAAACTGGTAGAATGTGTTGTTTGCTGGTGACTCAATGATCACTGTAGATAGCCAGGAAGAATTGCAAATTAGATCGATACGATGGCAGGAGAGAGAGAAGAAACAAAACAAAACAAAATAAAACAAAACGGAGGAAAAAGAAAACAATTCAATGGAGAGAATTGAAAGTGCTTGATAAGGTCAGTGATGTTAGAGGGGAGGAGATATAGCAAGTGGCGGATTTTTTTTATTTTATTTTATTTATTTTTTAACATTTACGAAACCCCTTAACACTTCGGTATACTCTAATACATGTTTGCCCTTTACGCGTACATTGTTGGAACCTCTTGCAACATTTTTATTTTGTATCAAAGTGAATGCCTTCAACTTGATACGTACGGTTTTGATACATTCTAGCTAGCCAATCAGAGCGCGATATTTTTCAGATATAATTCATGTAGTCTCTGACAGGGATTTATGTATTAATTAATAACGAATCGCATCGTACGTTTCTTGATATATTTTTTTATCATAAAAGTGCATAAAATATTTCTGTGCCGTTTTATCAGTACATCTAATATATGTTCACTTTATATGGGTAAGATTTTTAGTCAAATATAACGATCGCTGGAACGACATGGTAAGAATTTTCAACGTGTCCGATTCATATAACGTGGTATTGACTTCGATGGGATGAATGTTTTTAAAATAAATTTATAATGCAAGGCCTTTTTTGTAACATTTTCGTAACCTATAACACTTTGATACACTGATACATGTTTGTCCTTTAAGCGTGCATTATTGGAACCTCTTGAAACTTTTTTCAAATGTATAGTTGAAGTGTTTTACACTTCGGCTAGCCATGGGATGAATTTTTTAAAATATATTTAGTATGCAGGATTTTTTGTATTTTCGTAACTTATAACACTTTGATACACTGATACATGTTTGTCCTTTAAGCGTGCATTATTGGAACCTCTTGAAACATCTTTTCATTTTGTATCAAGTTAAAGGCAAACATCTTGCTACACTTCGGCTAGCCAATCAGAGCGCGATATTTTTCAGATATAGTTCACGTAGTCTCAGTCAGAGATTTATATTTTCATTAATTACGAATCGCATCCAAAGTTTCTTGATAAAACTTTTTATGGTCAAGGTGCACAAAACCATTTATGTCTTTTTAGCAGTACATCAAATAAATATTCACTCTTTATGGGTAAGATTTAAAGTCAATCATGACGATCATTGGAACGACATGGTAAGAATTTCTAACGTGTCCGAGTCACATGACGCGGTGTTGACTTCGGTGGGATAAATGTCTTCAAAATGATTCTGTACCTCTGTGATATAACCTTATATACTTAAAAATATTAAAGAAAAGGCTGCGTATCTTGATTTATTGATATAATTCAATTCAATCAAGTAGATGTCCGTGATCATTGGAATTACCCATTTTTCTAATTCGGACACGGAACACACTCGCGGTGGATACGATAAGAAGCAAAACCTTTATGTAACTTTCACTTCTCATATGAAGAACAATGTATATCATAAGAAAATATATATATATATATATATATATATATATATATATATATATATATATATATATATATATATATATTGACTGAATCTGAGATATGCATTTAAATTTTCCACAGCCTGGTGAAAGGAGTAGTTGTGTGTATAAATAATACAAGTTGCAGAGTAGTCAGGTAATTTTCCATTTTATTTGAATATTCCACAATGTTTTGTTTGTTATTAAAAGTCAAACTATCATAATAAGTACTTTAATGGTTTTCAATTAACTTTTTATGTGAAATAATAAAAAATAACTAAAAAAAAAAAAAATGTATGTCAGTACAAACTTCGATGATATCGTGTTTTGTAGCGACCACAATACCACTTGAAACAATGTATCAAAGTGTTAGGGGTACTGAGATGCTACAAAAAGGCCTATAATATTTCTCTGAGAGGGGATTGTCTGAGGTTTCAATATCAAAGGTTAATTGCAATCAGTTGACCACACATAATGAGAATCAGTAAAAAGCTGGCAACTATTTTGTGTCTGGTAAGAGTATATGCTATACAATATACAGTGTGCGAAATATGACATACTAAGGTACGTCTCAATAGACAAAATTCCTTGCTTCACATTTTTTAGGACTTGCCTCTCTATTAGCTATATTTGAGAATGTATAGTGTAACCTTGTCTGTTCGCGACGCTTGAGCACATGGTTTAAATTATGTCATTTAGGAAGGACATTGAAAGCTATTGTCTTGCATTATGATCGAAGTGGAGGAGAAAGTTGTTTTCGAGTGAATTCTTGTCGATATTTTTGTTTTCTGACTAACATGCGCAAAATTAAAGCAAACGACGCCAAATATAGAACAATCAATAAGCAATACTTTACAGTATGCCTTAACTAGATATATATAGATTTCTTATATGCTTGACAAAACTATAAACTGACCACACACATAGGGGAGGTAAAATGCTTAAAGGAATAGCCACAGCGACAAGGGGTGAAGGAGAATGTCCTTTTCGAGTGAATCCTTGTCGGTATTTTTGTTTTCTGATTAATATACACTAAATAAAAGCAAAGGAAACAAGGCACAGAACACAATAAACAGTAGGTTACAATATGCATAAGCTAGGTATATCTAGCTTTCTTCTATACTTGATAAAAGTACAAATTGATCACATACACAGGGGAGGAAAAATACTTAAAAGGAACAGCCATAGTGACAACGGCTTATACCAACACACTTTTCTTTACTTTTCCGCTGCCGTTGATAAAAATATTCAAAGCAAAGATGGAAAAAAACAACTACTTCGATCATATTATTATTATTATTTACAGCATTATCGTTTAGCGTTATAGGAAGATAAATTTAGCATGGTTACTGCTAGGTCAAGCTTTAGCATTTTTCAGATTTTAAAAATTTGGTACCGGTGGGGCACCTATTCCCAAATTTCCTTGTTTTTTTTTTCTCCGGTGGTAGAAAAAAAAGGTAGTGGATCAATATATGATATGATAGTATTCTTATTATAGCCATCTTGTAATAGGTACATTGGTAAAAGACATTTTAACACCCCCCCCCCCTCTCTCTCTCTCCGAACTTGAAGGGTTTCACAGAAAAGACCAAAAATACAAAAAAATATGTATGGCACAACACAACCTCGCGAATACTGTCGTGTTGCCAAAATGCTATTCCAAAATCAGTTCAAAATGTTCTCTACCTGTTGATAAGTGAGTTTACTTTGGTTGCTCTCTGGCAAACATTGAACGTTTTCCAAGATTCTAAAATGGTCAAGTGTTGGCCTTTTTTTATTGGGTCAAATTGTAATGCTGTTTATAGTCTCCAGGTTGAAAATTAGATTCTATAATTTTTTTTTAACACTTTCTTTTTCTAAATTTATTATTTTTTCAAAACAAACAAAACCAAATGGATGGGGAATCTAATTTGACTGACATATTTACCGAGAAATTACTTAAAAGAATTGTTAATGCAGGTTGAAACTGGCCAAACATACCCTTATGCAATTTGCTGCACTGTTTTAAAGCGAGAGAAAAAAAGACAAGATGCACTTCTTAATTACAGAAAATGATCAACTTTTAACCTATTGTACCCAAGATCGACTTGCTTACTCAGAGACCCGGATCTTAGTGAAAAAAAAGTTTTATGTAGGTCACACGTCCAGTTACTAGTAATTAGCATCGGGTTGGCAACTCAACTGAAGGTTTTCCTAAACAATGCAAGCCAGGGGGTCACTTCAACGCGAGGGGGAGGACCTGGCATGTGGTACTGCTTCCCTAGGGGTGGTATACCGGAGGAGGGGCAGTGAGGCAAAAGAGGCTATATGGCATTAGGAGCAATCAATGATAAAATATATGTATGTATATATTCTTTCTTTTACAAAATCTGAAATATGTCATAGACATTCAGATAAACTTTACCTTATTTTTTCATATACATTAAGGTAATAATGAATTGGGTTACTAACTTAGTTTTTATTTGTGAAATATAGCTTTGTATTCAGTGTTTTCAATCCAAAACATTATCACAATAATAAAAAAAAGTGTTTTCGCATGTAGGCGCTAGG